CAATTTTTTTTCCCCTTCTGTTAAATACCACGTTGATCCTGAGGCTAAATTTAATAGTCTATTACTGTTATGTGAAATTCCATTAGGGTTGACCCTGTGGCTCAGCAGTTCAGCCCTGTGCATGTGGAGCTAGATCCCACATGACTGACCACTGTTGGAATCTTGGCCCCAGCAACTTGCAAAACATGCTCAGTACAGGTGCTTGAGTGTCCCAAATGCTGTTGGGGAAAGGACTGCAAAGTGGTCATGCCCCACTGGGGAATGTTTTCTCTCTCTTTCTCTCTGGCAAGTGCATGTGCCCTCTAGCATTAAAAAATTCCATTGAGGGACCAATAGATGGCATAATGGTTACGTTGCTGGACTCTCATGTAGTTGACCATGGTTCAAGTCCTTGACCTGGCAGCTTAAACGCACACGGGGCACGTGTGCATGCATGCCCAAAATCCCAAGAGGAGAATGGAGGAAAAGTGATGTGGCATGGCCATCCCCCCCCCCCAGGGAGTCATTTCTTGCTCTCTGTCTCTGTTTCTCTGATGAGCACACACACCCTATAGCAAAAATCTCTCTCTAAAAAAATATTCCATTGAATAGTCTCTCTCAGAGTTTCTCAACTTCAATACTATTGAGACCTTGTACTAGATAGCTCTTTGTTGTGGGGGACTGTCCTATGCATTATAGGGTGTTTAGCAATGTCCCTGGCTTCTGTCTACCATATACCAGTAGCACCTTCCCACTTGTGACAACCCATAATATTTCCAGATGTCAAATGTCCCCAGGGGAGGGGGGAGCAGTTGTGGTTAGAAATCACTGATCCGTCTTTAAAGATGACAGCGTCGTGATAAAAACTCAGTAACTCCAGAATTTGTTCTTCTGTCCTTATACTTGCGTAACCTCCCCCTCTACCCTGTTATTGACATCTGTCACCAGATGGTACACTTATTACAGTCGATGAACCTGTTTTGACGCATCATTATCATGGAAGTCTATGGTTTATATTAAGGTTCCCTGTTGGTATTGTGCATTCTGTGTGTCTGGACGAATGCATGATGGCATGTATCCACCATTGTAATGTCAGACAGTAGTTTCACTGCTCTGCAATTCCTCTGCATGCTGCATGTTTATCCCTCTCTCCCTTCAGCTTCTGACAGCTACTGATCTTTTTATTACCCCTAAAGTTTTGCCTTTTCCAGAATGTCATACGGTTGGAACTACAAAGTTTCATAATCTTTTCAAATTAGCTTCTTTCACTTACTGATAGGTATTTTTTATTCAACCATGTCTTTTTATGGCTTGATAACTCACTTCTTTTTAGTACTGAGTAATATTCCAATGTCTGGATATACTCCAGTTTACCCATTTATCTGCTGAAAGACATCTTCAGTGCTTCCAAGTATTGACGATGAGTAAAGATGCTGTAAACCTTTGAGTGCAGATTTTTATGTAGCATAAGGTTTCAACTCCTTCGGGAAAATATGGAGGAGTGTGGTTGTTTGAGCATATAGTAGGAGGATATTTAATTAGGTATGAAATGACCAAACTGTCTTCCAAAGGGGCTAAACCATTTTGCATTCCCACCAACAATAAACGAGAGTTTTTCTCTTGTTCCACGTCCTCACTGGCGCTTCCTATTTTCAGTGTTTTGGAGTTTAGCCATTTTAATAGATGTATAGTGGTATGTCCTTGTTTTAATGTTCAGTTCTCTAATGACATACACTATTGAGCATCTTTTATATACAGTAGTTGCCATCTGTATCTCTCCTTCAGTTAAGTGCCTGTCCAGGTCATTTGCCTGTTTTCTCATTGCATGGTTTACTTTCTGCGTATACTTTTTTTCCCTTAGGGACAAATTATTAAGTAACCATTCTGTATGTTGAGACCTATTTGCTAGCATTTCCATGATCTAAGAAAGGTTCAGTCTTAATGATCAAAGTATCACTTATGGAATGTTAAGACGTATATAAGTGTTCTTTTCTTTCTTTTTTTATTTGAGGGAGATTTTTTTGTTTTAGAGCACTTGTGCTTGCTGCAGTCAGAAGGCGACAGAGACAAAAAGTGAGAAATCACCCTCCAGGGGTGGATGGCCCCACCACAGTCTCTTCTTCTCCATTCTCCTCTTGGGATTTTGGGCATGCCTGCACACATGCCCAGTGTGATGCCTGCACACATCCCCAGTGTGAGTTTCAAGCCACCAGGTCCAGGACTCGAACCAGGGTCAAATACACAGAAGTCCAGCACGTTTACTGCTATGCCACTTATTGGTCCCATATTTCTTATTTTCTGTAGGATACATTATAACTTAACTTTTCATAACTAGGCAACTTGTTTGTTTTTAATGAAGTTTATATATTTCCTCCACAAGCGAGAGATAGTGAGAGAGCACCTCCACCAACAGGGCCCTGACACCACGATTCATCCCTAGCTTTAGCCAACCCCTGGTCAGGGGCACATGCATGCCTAGTGTACTCAGGAAGGTCTCGAGATGTGAACCAGAGACCCTCCCATCTGGGTCCGCCTCTCAGAGCTTCATGTTTCCCACTGCATCACCTGGTCCCCCAACTTGCTTTAATAGATGTATAATTCATGTAGTCATTTAAATTGTGACTGCAGAATGCTTGAGAATGATTTACCATAGTTTAATCTACAAACATTTAATCATATTTGAGGATGACTTACAACAGTTCAGTCTACTTAGAGAAATTATTTTGCTTATGCAGTGTGTCTAGATTTTCTTTCTTCATAGAGTAAGGCAAACTTTGGCTGAAATTTTCACAAATTTTCTATCAGTGAGGTCCATGCCGAGGTCAGGTGGTGGCACAGTGGTAAAATGAGATATTCTGAGGCAGTCTCATATGGAAAGGTTGCTGGTTCAAGTCTGGAGACCTCTCTGAGCATGCCAGGCATGAACTTGCCCATGACCTGGGGCTGGTTGAGGCTGGAGAGGGTAAGAGTCTCAAGATCCTGGGGTGTTACATGTCTCTCTCTGTCACTATTGGAAGAAACAAGTTAATAAACTTAAAAAAAAAAAAAAGGTCTATGTAATGGGCTATTTGCATTCTAGTTTTTTAGGCATAGAGATTTAAAAATATGGATCAACAAGCAAGTATTATGTAAAGCGTTTAATGAAAGGGTTGGGATTCCACTCCAGTACTTCTCAGTTGTGTGCCCTTGTACAAATTAGTGTTCTCTTCTAGGCATCCGTGTCCTAATCTCTAAAGTGGGGGTAAAATAATAATAATAATAATAGCCCATAGGGTTTTTGTGAGAATTAAATGAGATAATGCATGTATAGGGTTCTTTTTTTTAAAAAAAAGAATAATTTTATTTAACTTGACTTATTATTTTCCAGTTTGATCAGACAGAGAAAGAGAGGAAAAGTGAGAAAGCAAGCCACCAGGTCCAAAACTTGAACCATGGTCGGCCATGTGGGAGTCCAGCGCCCTTAACCACCTCGCCATCTGCCGGCCCTCTGTGCATGTACAGGGTCCTAACAAAGTGACTGGCATGGCCTAAGTCTGTCCTTGTGAACTACTGTTAGCATGTAGTAGAAAAGGTGCCTTAGGGAGCTCCTTTTAATATTATTTAATATAAAGATAGAAGATTGTGGGACCAGTTGGTGGTGTAGTAGTTAAGGTGTTGGACTCCCATATGGCCAACCACAGCTCGAGTCTCAGTCCTGACAGCTTGAAAATCATGCCCGGCACATGTACATATGTGCCCAAAATCCCGAGGGGAGAATGGAGAATGAGGGATTACAACACGACCATCCCCCCTGGTGGTGTGATTTTTCACTTTCCCTCTTTCTCTCTCTCTGTCTCTGGTAAGTGCATGTGCCCTACAGCAAAAACTTTAAATAAATAAGAAGGCTTTATTGATATCTTTAATGTGTAGGCTATATTTGTATGTCTTTTTTTTTTTTAATTCGTGATCGAGTGCATGCATGTGGATGTGGCTGAGAGAGAAAGATGAGCACCTTCCACAGGGTCTGATCACGCCGTGATCCCCTTCTTCAGTTCTCCAGCCCATTGAGTCTTGGGCATGCACATGTGTGCATAGTGTGTTTCAGGCTGAGTTGGCTGGGATTTGAAAGTGAGGAATCATTTCCCAGGGAGATGGCCTTGTTGCAGCCCCTTTTCTTCCATTCTCCTTGGATTTTGAGCATGCATGCACATGTTGCCAGTGTGATTTTTCAAGCTGCGAGGTCTGGGAACTTGAACCACAGTTGGCCACGTGGAAATCTAGCGCTTAACCACCATGCTACCTGCAGGCCTCTGGTTTCTCTTGAGCAGTGAGTTATCGTGGTGCCCGGAGCATGCCCTATTCTGTTCTTCATTATAGCCTTTCATTGTATTTTTTTTTGCCAAGTTATATGTAGAAATATGCTTATTTGGGATCAGCAGCTGGTGTAATGGCTATGTCGCTGGACTCCCATGTAGTCGACCGCGGTTTGCGTCCTGGACCCGGTGGCTTAAAACTCACGCCAGGCTCATGTGCGTGCGTGCCCAAGATCCTGAGAGGAGAATGGAGGAGAAGGGATTGTGGCGTGGCCATTCCCCCTGGGGGATGATTTCTCACTTTCTGTCTCCCTGTCTCTCTCCGTCTGTCTGGCAAGTGCACGTGCCCTACAGCAAAAACCTCTTAAAAAAAAAAAAGAAATATGCTTATTTATGTAAAACTGTAGTGAATGAGAAATCATGTCTCTAGTAATCCAGGACTCTGCAGAGAAAAAAATCAGAGTTAGAGATAAGAAATAGCCTCATATTTTTAGCATTAGAAGCTGAAAAGTGTATAAGCCAATTTACATATTGAATTTTTAAATATTTTAGAAGCTATCAAAAGAACAATGGTTTGTCTTTTTCTGTTTCAGGTTTCCATTTTATTTTTACTGGTACTGTCTTAAAATATTCAACTTGGTTTCCTGTTATCTCTTCACAGTAGAATGATTAGCACTCAGTTGGATTGTCAATTTATACAGTGGGTTATTGTGTCTTCTCTGTCTTTAGGATGATTGAGGAAAGTGGGAACAAGCGGAAGACCATGGCAGAGAAGAGGCAGCTGTTCATCGAAATGCGTGAGTCTTGAGTGTTCCTGGAGTCCTCACTCATAAAGGCAGGGATGTTTTCTTCCTTCTGACCAAGTCAGCTTTAATCAGTTATAAGTATTATGTCATAAGATTCAGAAAGAGAGGAATAAAAGTTAAAGAATCATGGAGTCTGGGGGAACCTGCAAGGCAGAGCATATATTTTAATTTAATTGACTTGCATTGCTTTCACTGCGCCCCGGGGTATGGCCATGCCACAATCCCTTCTCCTCCATTCTCCTCTTGGGATTCTGGAGACATGTGCACTCGCACCCAGTGTGATTTTCTGGGACTTGAACTGTGGTCGGCCCTGAGGGAGTCCAGCATCTTAACCAGTATGTCACTTGCTGATCCTAGGATTGATTTCTTTCTTTTTTGAGAGATTTTTGCTATAGGGTGTGTGTACTCGTTGGAAAGACAGAGAGAGACAGAGAGATGGAAAGCAAAAAATCACCTCCTTGGGGAGGTGGCCACATTGCAATCCCTTTTCCTCTATTCGGATTTTGGACATGCATACACATGTGCCCGTTTTGAGTTAAGCTGTTGGACCTGGGACTTGCAGTTGACTTTGTGGGAGTCCAGCGACATAACCATTGCACCATCTGCTGGTCCCAGGATTGCTTTCCTACGCGAGGGCATAAATAATAAGGCAGATGTTTCCCTAGAATATCTGTGATTTCAAGTCATGCCAGTCAATTCAGACTTCTTGCTGTAATTCTGTTGTTACCATGAGCTAGCAAATGGTGGTAAATCATTGAGAAATCATATAAGTTACTTTCCACTAGATACCAGTTTTCTTAAAGAATTATTTTATTTAACTTTATTATTATTATTATTATTTTTTCCAGTTTGATCAGACAGAGAGAGAGAGAGAAAATGAGAAACCAAGTCACCAGGTCCAGGACTTGAACTGCGGTTGGCCATGTAGGAGTCCAGCACCTTTAGCCACCGTGCCACCTTCCACCCCACTAGATACCAGGTCTAAGGTCGAGAAGACTAAGTGTAAGGACAGCACCTAGAACTGTCAGAAAAAGAACAGTATGACAAAAAGAATGAATGTGTACTTTGGTGTGTTACTTTACAATTTAAAATCTCCTGCAGAAATTATATATATATACATTGTTTTTTAATTTGTTAAAGGGTGCATATACTCACTGAAGAGAGATAAAAAGAGAGAGGGAACGTGAGAGAGAGAAAGTGAGAGAGTACCCCCTAGTGGGGAGGCCATACCACATCCCTTCTCCTCCATTCTCTCCTTGAAATTTTTGGGTACACACACATACACACACACACACACACACACTCACACACACGTATACATGTGCATGGTGTATTTTTCAAGTTTTTTTTTTTAAGAATTCTTTACTTAATTTTATTTATCCTTATTATTATGTTTAAATTTGCTACAGGGTACGTGTGCTCTCCAGAAACACAGAGAGAGAGAAAGCCACCAGATCTGGAATTTGAACTGCATTCAGCCATGTGGGATTCCAGTGCTTAGCCACCATAACACCTGCTAGCCCCCAAATTATATTCTTATATACATGAACAAAGAAAAATAAATGGACAAGAGGAGTAAGTAGTTTCAGTATTTGAAGGATTGTTTGCTCTGTCACCAGGCCTGTGCCATTTAGCAACTTTATGTCAACAACTGGCATTTACTGTGGTGGTCCCCTAAGATTAGGTGGCATGTTGGTTAAGGTGCTGGACTCCCACATGGCTGACCACAGTTCTAGTCTCAGACCTGGTGGCTTGCTTTCCCCCTTTCCTGCTGTCTCTTTGTCTCTCTCTGGTCAAACTAAAAAATAATAACACTGGGGCCAGCAAGTGGCGTGGTAGTTAAGGGTGCTGGACTCCCACATGGCTGACTGCAGTTCAAGTCCTGAACCTGGTGGCTTGCTTTCTCTCTCCCTTTCCTCTCTCACTCACTCTGTCCTTTCCTGGTCAAATTAAAATAAATAAATAAAGTTAAATAAAATCATTCTTTAAAAAAATAATAACGCTAAATGAAATTAAGTAAATAATTTTTTTAAAAAGATTATCCCATGCGGCCTAGGTGTGTAGGAGGCTGTGCCATCTAGGCTTGTGTAAGTGTACTCTGAGGGTCAGTGAGGAAACTGCCCAGCACATTTCTCAGAATGTATCCCTGCCATGAAGTGGCACAGGGCCATGCTCATCTTTGTGACCTTGGCCAGGTGACCTCGACCAACACACATTGGCTGGAACTCAGATTCCTTTGCTATGATCTGGAGTTCTTGGTCTGGATTAGTGATTGTGATACTTTGAAAGCATTTCAGATTAAATCTCGCAGAGACCCTCAATATACAAGTCTTAGGAAGTAGGTTCTGCTGGGTTAAAGCAGGAGACAGGAGGCAGGAGCCTGACCCGGGATAGCCCCTGTGCACTTGAAGAATTCCGGAATGCTGCATATCACAGTGGGAAGGGCATGAATACAGTCTCAGGAGCCTTTCAGCTGTGGACGCGTTTTAGGTCTTTAGAGGCTTAGCGACGTGGGTAGAGTTTGACTCCGCTCAGATCTGTGTTGTTCCATCACGCAGCCTGGGAAAGTGTTAGAGAGGGCAGAGAAGAAAGGTTCACGTCAGATAGGAAGCCAGACTGGGTGATCTGAAGGACCTTTGCAGTTCTGAGGCTCTCCTTGCTAATCTTCCCACCCAGCCACCTTGGTGTCACTTCCTTCCACCTCACCTCCTGTCTCCAAAAACATCACAAAGTGTAACTGAGTTTTACCCTACGAGGTTTGAATCTGTTCCTCAGACCCTGAGTCTAGGCTCTGCAGGTAGACTGCCAGGTTTGGATCTTGGATCTCTTACTTAGTGGCTGGATAACCTTAGGCTAGTTACTTAATCTCTGTGCCTCAGTTTCCTTATCCTTAAATAGTAGTGACTTCATAGAATTATTCAGGGGCGTCAGGAGATGGTGTAGTACTTGGGGCGCTGGACTTACACATGGCTGACTACAGTTTGAGTCCCGCACTCACTGGCTTGAAACTCCTTCTGGCTGTGTGTGCGTGCATGCTCCCAAATCTCGAGAGGACAATGGAGGATAAAGGATTATGGCATGGCCATCCCTGTGGAGGATGATTTCTCACTTTCTCTTTGTCTCTCTGGCGAGTGTGTATGCCTTTTAGCAAAAAATCTCTCTTAAAAATAAAAATAATTATTGTTATAATGTGAGTAAAGTACTTGGCACAGTAAATACTTAATATGATTAGCTGTGCTCATTATAAATAATTTTTGTCATTGTTACATTTCCGAACTAAAGAGTAGAGTGGATGGCAGAAGTCCTTGTCTTGGTTTTGACTTCATTGGGAATGTTTTTAATATTTCACTGTTTTCTGGGTCAGTCTGTGGTGTGGTGTTTAAGGCAGTTGTATCTCATGTGACTGTGGCCGACTGCATGATTTGAGTCCCAGGTGCAGCAGCTTGAAAAACAGACTGGGTGTGTGTGCATGCATGGCCAAAATCCCAAGAGGAGGATGAATGAGAAGGGATTGCAGTGTGGCCATCCCCTGGGTAGTGCTTTCTCAATTTTTTTTTCTCTCTCCCTGTTTAATGCATGTGCCTTCTAGCAAATTGAAAAGAAAAGAATAATGTTTGCTGCAGTGATTTCGTATTCTTTATCAGGTTAAGGAATTTCTCTATTCCAATTTGCTAGGAGTCATTTTCATTATTTTCTTAAATCATGAATAAGCATTGAGTTTTATCAGATGTTTTCTGCTTCCCTTGAGATAAATGTGTTTCTCTTTTATTCTGTTAGCAGAGTGTTCAAGGCAGCAATCTTTTCCTTAAAGGGCCAGAGAGTAAATAACTTAGGACTCTATGAGGAGTTCTCTGTCACAGCTACTCAGCTCTGCTGTTGCAGAAAATGGTCATAATAACTTAGATATTTTATAGTTTCTATCTTCTGTACTATCCTAAGCCTTTTTTTTTAAAGAATTATTTATTTAATTTCATTTATAGATGAATTTATCTTTAATTTAACCAGAGAGAGAGAGAAAGAGGGAAAACAAGCCGCCAGATCTAGAACTTGAACCATGGTCAGCCATGTAGGAGTGTCCAGTGCCTTAACTATCATGCCACAGCTGATCCCCTTAAGCCTTTGTTTCTAGACACTCTCTTTTAATTTTGCATTATGAATAGTGATAAAATTAGTTTATTCTTTCTTTGCTTAATATTTTCTTTTTTAGACTCTAAGCACCATGAAAATAAAGATTGCATCTGTTTATTATGGTACCTCTAGCAACTCAGTAAATGTTGAAGGAGGAATGGAATAAATAACACAGAAATACTATGGTAGTTTATGATTCTTATGTGATAAAAAATTATGAAGAAAATTTGAGAAAAATGAAAGGTGACAAGTTAGAACAGTAGTCCTCAATTCTGGTGCTAAGTAAAAGCTCTCCAATTGATTCTAGAAGGTACTTGATGTCAAGCTTCCATGATCAGAGATTTCTATTTTGTTCTATCTCTTCTAATGTTTGCCAGTTTTGTTAGTCTGTTCAAGGGACTGACTTTTGGCTCTGTTTGTTCTCTGTGTATCTTTGTTTTCTTTCCCATTTTTTTGGTGCTGTATAGTTACTGTCTTCTTTCTGTTTTGGTAAATTTCGTTGTTCTTTTTCTAATCTCTTATGTTGGGTTACTAAGGTAATTTATTCCAGACTTTTTTCCTTCCTTTTTAAAAAAACAATTATTTAATTATTTTATTTAACTTTATTTATTTATTTTTAATTTGACCAGATAGGGATAGAATGTGAGAGAGAAAGAGAGGGAAAGTGAGAAAGCAAGCTACCAGGTCTAGGACTCAAACTGTGGTTGGCCATGTGGGAGTCCAGCGCCTTTAACCAAGATGCCACCTGATAGCCCTGACTTTTTTCCTTTCTTACGTTTAGGATTAAACTTTACTGCACTAAAAAAAATTTTTTTTTACATCCCAAGTGTCTGATATATTCTATTTTCATTACAATTCTTTGT